AGCTATTGGCATTAATAAGGGGCCGTACGCATCACAGACTTTTACTGGCGATGGAGTGGAGGTGCGGTGCCACGGTCCCTACGCAGTCGTGGAGACACATTGAATCATCCGTGCAATTATTCTGCAATGCCGACCCAGAGGCCATCGAGACCACGCATGCATTTCATTCACAAGGGAGGCCCTAGAGAGAGAGAGAAAGGGGGAGAAAGAAAAACATGATTTGTGGGATGAAAGATGCCAAATAACCGTTCAACCCCCATCCCCTCCCCCCAACTTATTCCGCATGCAAGGACTGTTTTGTCTGTGACAGACGTTTCTAATTGACGCCGCTGGAGGCTGGGTACAACAAAACACCCTGTTACCAACATGATTCAGTCGTGTTACCTATCCCGGTACTATATATACGCTATATATAAACCGATGCGGAGCATGTAATGAATAAAACACGGGAACAGACAGAACCCATTTCCCCCCCAAACCAGCTTCGCGTCTCACCGCTGAGACAACCACTGTGGTATTCATTTCTTATGGGGCCCCTCGGTCCAGACTGCTTATGTCAAGTCGGGTTACCGTGCCGAGGAAGCTGCGGGAAGAAACACTCCAAACATCGGGGGACTCCCATCCACAACTCTTTTCAAATTGGAAGTAATCTCAGTAGAATATTTTATTATTGCCGGACGTAGTGGCAGACGATCGCACCTGTGGTCTAAGATCTTGAGGGGTGGGGTTGGAGGATTGTGCAGAGATGTAGGCTTCCCAAGTGTGAGACTCACACCCGTAAGGTGACAAGGCGCCCGCTGGAGGCGGTACAGAAAGTAGGCCGTGGAGCTGTCTGTGTAGTCTAACTGTTACTGTATTTATCTTCTTGGTTCTTTCGGTAAAGTCACTTAGAAGGGAAATAATAAAATAATACAATTTTATAATATTATTATATTAGTTGATTATATTATTATATTATAGTATTTTATTATATTATTTTATTATGTGAAATTTTTATTATTTTATTACTTCCCTTCTACGTGACTTTACCGAAAGAACCAAGAAGATGAATCCCTGCAGTCACGAAAGCTTTAAATCGAAACATAAAATATTTTTATTTTTATTATTTTATTACTTCCCTTCTACGTGACTTTACCGAAAGAACCAAGAAGATGAATCCCTGCAGTCACGAAAGCTTTAAATCGAAATGTTACTGTATTTGCTTAAATTTTGTTTCGTCCATTACTTCAGTATTCCGATTTGAAACAAACTTACTCAACAAGAAACTTGCCGGATGTTTTACGGCATAGGCCGCATTTACCTGGTAAAAAAGAAATTGTTCGTCATTTTGCAAGCACCTATTTGATTAGCAAACTTTAAAGTTGACCTTCGATGGCCTTAATCACTGGTGACTGATCATTAGAATAATATAATATAATTTATTTATATTTGTATTATTTTATTATTTCCTTTCTACGTGACTTTACCGAAAGAACCAAGAAGATGAATCCCTGCAGTCACGAAAGCTTTAAATCGAAACTTGATCATTATAACTTAATATATTTTTTTTCATCATGAATATTTACACCAGCTTTTAAGGGTTTTCTCGCGTCGACGGTAAATAAATGATGAACTAACGTGTTCAAGAATGCCGAGAGGTGAGCCCTGTTAAGAAATAAACATACGCTGACTGGGTGTTATAACGGCTTGCGAGGTCAGAGGGCGCGGCTCTCTACATTAGCGAGGGGCTGACGCAGGGTCAGCTGACGCAGGGCACGCAATCTGATTGGACGACGGTGGAGGGACCGTTCCAATCTGATTGTGTCGTCACTGTCATTTGAAAGAGCCCGGGGGGGTGGGGGGGGGCGGGGGAGCCAATTGAAATGAGGGGTCGGTTGTGAGACCGTTAGGAAGAAACAAGGGTGGAGAGTCAGGGAATGTTCGAGAAAAGACAGAGATTCTAGATTTGAAGTTTTCGTGACTGCAAGCGGTTGTGCTTTCGCTAAGTTGTCCCCACCTGAAGAAGGACGCTTGTGTTGCGCCCGAAACGTCGTGATTTTATTTATTTTAATATTTTTTTACCTACGTGACTTTACCGAAAAAAACAAAGAGTAAAGAACAGAGAATAGGATGAAAGGAGCGGATGGAAGGGGTTTAGGGGGCCTGATCGGAGTAATTCCCTGCCGTAACAAAGTGCACGTTCAAAACTTACCTGGGTTGAAACTCATTTGCAGCACACACACACGACAGCCTAATCGGATTAGCAGCCGCGCGAAACCTGAACAAATGACCACGTCCGTGGCGCGGGATCTTCCTAGACTACGTTCAATATCCTAATTGCACAATCCCACTCCGAGGGGGCGAGAGAACAATGTGTCATGTCGCACCGTGCCGTTGTCAATCCCTCCCGCGGATTAAACCAGGACGGCACAAAGAACGACGCGGAGATTCATCGGATTAAAATGTCCATACTTTGTGTGCATCCATTGCTGGATGAAGGCCTCCCCTTGCTACGGCTGTCATGTCATGGGGTTTGCTTGTTTGTTTGTTGTTTTCGGCAATACTTCACCGCGCTGGTCAGTGCAGGTCGGTTGAAAGGAGGAGGCCCCAGGACCGGTTTTGTTTGATCATCCGCCAAAGAGGTTAGCCGTGGCTGGGAATTGAACTTGGGCTCGCGGAGTTCACAACCCTCGCCGCTCTGCCACTACTCCCGCAACCCTCGCCGCCCGTCGGATTCAAAGACGTCGCACTGAAGAGCAGCGCAACGTAGCGACGAATTAAAATGATAAAAAAATAAATCCCTCGCAATCTGCTCCACAAAGAGTGGGCTACTCGGATTTGAGTGACGGGCCACAATTTGAACACACGTCGACCAAGTAAACTTGCGTACATGCGGCACAAAGTCACTGACTGGAAGCATCCAGGAAAGAGGAGCACACACTCGCAACCGATTACACATCAGGCTAATCGTGCAGTGCGCGTTTGAACAGCAAGGAGAACACAACGCTGACATTTCCGCCACACGTGTGCGGTTAATTGACCAATGACCTACTTGAACAAGTGGGAACCGTTGAGCTGCATCCGTGTGCCGAATGCCATCCTCATAAACGACGGTGGATGACCGTGACAGCTGCTATCCATCTTTCACAATCTTCAGCATCCAACGCAAGTCTTCCGAAGGCCCCAGAAAGAAGCAAGAATTACTGCAAAAAGTTTGACATCATGGTAGCAACTAATTAGCCAATCCAATATCAGAACAACAAAACACATATTAATGGCTGACATTCACAAAATTGCAAATTCAATTAGCCCTCAGGCCCTTGCATAAGTTTCAATTAAACCACATTCCTGCGGAGGGAGCTGGTAGGAACGTTGGGTTGCTCGGTCAATGGCCAGGGTCAACGGCGGCGTGGTGTATTCCGCAAATATGCCCGACTGTGAGGGCGGGACACAAGCCGGTCGTGAGTAGGTTAAACGTTGAGTTTTATAAGGGCACCACGGGGTGACCAGCCCCTCCCCACCCACCCCCACCCTACCCTCCCAACCCAGCCCCTCCCCACCTTCCCCTCCCCACCCAGCCCCTCCCCACCCAGCCCCTACCTCTCCACCCAGCCCCTCTCTGCACGACGGACGGACACAATAATCCCCTGTGGGTTGGTGTAACCAGGAGGGTTCCTACCAGTACAAACTCACTCCAACGAAGAAGAACAAAAACCATTTACAGTAAAATTTTCGGGTTGAGCGAGGAAGAGGCAAGGCTGATCCAACACTCATGGGAAGCATGCAGTACGTGCGGATTAAACAAACGAGCTGACAGTGGAGCTGCCGATGGACACCCTCCATCTACCCGAGCAAACGCAGCCTAAGGAGATGCAATGCTATGCTGAGCAGAGATTGGTGCTCGTAAGCCGGGCCCAGTATCCCAGCTCTTGCGCTCCCGAATCGACGAGTCGGCAGCCTGCCCGGTGATGAGAGAGGCACCGCAAACATTTAGTGACCACGGCGGAGAGGTCCGTCCTGGTCTAACCAGACTCGACTGCCCCTTGCCGTGCCCATCAGCTGCACATCAGCCGAGCAAGCCGCAGGGGAAGGTGCGTTGAGTTATTGGCAAACTGCGCAGTGAGGTCCTCCGTCCAGTGGGTCACAGCTCTCGATCTGGGGACTCATTTCTCTCCACAATAGGTCAGAGGTGAGCGCAAGTAGATATGGGAAGGCTGAATAAATTGTTCCCCAGGTTCCTCCAGTGGGTCCCCAGTGTTCGATGCGAGCTATAATTCGTCTCCGTTTTGAGAAGGTGCAACGTCCGTCTTATTATTTACGCGTTCGTAAGAAAAGAAAAAAAATCTGTGGAAGGCCTCCACAATTCGAGAGTGCCGCGGGCAATACTCTGGCAGTGCCAAGCTGCCCAGAGGCTGACATCACCACGGGGCCAGCTGGGTGAAGACAAGCAAAGAGTCCTCGAGAGAAATTGAGGATCCATTGATATGAACAAACACTGAGAATTAAACACACACACACAGAGAGATTCGAGCAGGTGAGGTTAGGAGAAGCAGCACGGCTGGCTACGTACGGTGCGAAAGAAATCCAACACACATTGAGTACAGGTGATGGTCACAGGGAGTCGTGATTTGTACGATTGTAACAAGCACGGGCACACTGAGCTTCGTGATTAATTCAAAGGCAGAGGCTCGAGGCTGCTTTTGTGACTCTTCAACCCCTTGACTTGTTTCATCTAACACAGATACACAATGGCCAGCCGGAGCGAATAACATCACCGACCATTCACTTCCTTCTCAATATTGACTCCACCGCAGATCGTGCACGTTGGTATCATCCCCCCCCCCAAAAAAAAACATCACCTCCCGACTCGTCTGGGATCCGTTCCAAACTCTGCCCACAGCCGTTTCAACTCCTGCCAGTGTGATCCCCCCCCCACCACCCCCCCCGGCGTAATCCATCAGGGGTCGCGGAGGATTAACGCGGTTACGTTGGTTCTCACTTTCCTCTCTCCTTAAACGCAGATCCTTGTGAACCACGGGGCGAGTTTCGACGCTGAGCGGAGCATGTTCGTCGCTCCGCGGAAAGGGATCTACAGCTTCAATTTCCACGTCGTCAAAGTGTACAACAGGCAGACGATACAGGTGGGTGAGCCGGTGGTGGCACGGATAGAACAAAGGGGATTTGCACTCGCCGACAATCTTAGCAAACCAGCGTTGGGCGATCGCGTGCGGGCATCGACACGATGGCTTTCGTGCTGCGATGTTTTTTGAAAACATTTTATTTTAGCGGGTAAGGCCCCCACTAAGTGCTATGTGGAGATATGTTTTAAAGAAACGACCTGGCTATCACAAATGATAGCGAAACGAAGTGGCTTTTCGCGTGGACAATGTACAGGGTGTTTCAAAAAGATGGACCCAATTTCAAAGCAGTAGATTTCACGATTGGCAGCATGTCGCGATTACACGAAAAGTTACAAACGGTTTATGTATAGCAGCCAAATAATCTGAATGCGTGTTTCTAAATGTGGAGGGGGGGGGGGGGGAAACCCGGAGGTCCCCGGAGGTCCCCGGACCAAAAATCCACGCGCCGACAGGGAGAGAGACACACAAACTCCAAATATACAGCAGCAGCAGGCGCCAGGGTCGGGTTTAAACCCGCAACCTCCTGCACACCAGGCGAGGGAGTGAACATCCCGCCACCGTGGCGCCCCCTGACACGAGGGAGCTGTTGGCATGGCAGTAGGAGTTGGGCCACTAACGTGCGCTGATGAAATCGGTGGATCGTTTGCCGATAAACTTGCGTGGATATCTTCTCACCTTTGGCGATTCGACGGCCCGATTCGAGGTCACGGTTCGATCCGAGAATCATTTTTTCTCCCTTTTTGCCATTGAGGTCTTCGTGAGCAACAGCAGCAGCAGCAGAATGGAATGAAGCCGGCAGGATGGAATGAATGAATACAGGATGGAATGAATACGGCGTATACAAGTCGAGATAATTGCTTGACTCGTTTTCGTACAACGCTTTTACGCTGAGGAGAAGAAACAATTTTAATTGATGGATCAGGCAGATAGGTAGATAATCATAATTGTCAATAATGGGGGGTGAGGGGGTGGTTGACCATACTTCACCACGCCGATCTTGCGAGGATTAGCGAAGGGGCAAGAGGGGCATGAGTGTTTTTGTACACACCACTCGATACCGACGTTAGCCACGGATGGAAATCGAACACGGGTCGCCAGGTCCATGGCTCTGCAAGTGCGCTAACCACCGTGACGCCACCCCCCCCCCCTCCCCCAGGCAGATGAGTCTTCTTTATCGAGAGCCAACCAAGCGCACACTCAGGCAGCAACATTGCGTTGGCAATGGGATAGTTGCAGGTACACAGGAGAACAAAACAGAGTGTTGGCCAAAGCGACGAGCATGAAACAATACAGGAGGAGCCATGCTAAGTAATGGCGAGTTAACATACTTTTCGATTTAAAGCTTTCGTGACTGCAGGGATTCATCTTCTTGGTTCTTTCGGCAAAGTCACGTAGAAGGGAAGTAATAAAATAATAAAAATAAAACATAATAAAATAATTCTCACGACGTTTCGGCCACAACGCAAGCAGCCGTCCTGAGGACGTCCTCTTTACCGGAAGAACCAAGAATAGTTAAATACTATCAACAATTAGCATGATCATCTTAAATAGTACAGTGTCGTGGCGACACACACCACCCCACTCCCCAGAGATTACATCAACAAAATTCAACGTCACGATTCGATTCAAGAGCCAATTTTATTTTCATCTCACCTTTATTATTGTTTATATTGCTACTACTCTTCTTTTGTTGTTGTTGTTGTTGTTGCTGCCGAGTTTGACGCAGTGTCCTTCGTGCAACATGAGCAAACACTCTGTGCACTAAAGTTGAATTAAGTTCGTAACTCAATTGCACAATTTGATTGACCTGTCACGTGCCTAATAATTCATGTGCGTCAATCGAAACATCACGCAATGCCTATTAAACCACAATCGTACAGTTCCAAGGCCAAATAAAAATTACACGTACACCACGATAACCATCATCCAATTCTAATTATTACATTCAAATGAAAATGTACTTCACAATCTGCCTGCATTCGTAGTCAAGCCGGGCAGTGGTGGCTTCGCACGCGACCTGTTATCCAGCACTGTGGAGGGAGTCAGGGTTGGTGAATCACCGTACACAAATGTTGTTCAACTGCCATCCCTTGGCACTCCAAGTGGCATTACCCTTCAGGACTGTGCCGCAAAACACGTGGGCTTTGCCTGCCCCGCCTGTGTGGGACGTAGTGTCTGCCCTATTCCCCCCTCCCGCTCCCTCTCTGGGTGCTACCGGTTTCCTTCCACAGGTGAACATTCGCTAATGTGGTCGATTTCTTCATGCGCAGAGGATCGCAGAGCTTGGGAAATTGTCGGTGCCGAGTCGCTGCCTCTCCGTTTGCCTCTCGTTCTTCGCACTTCTGAGCCATTTCCGTGCCTTCGCGAGCGGGCGGCTGCCGTGCAACATTTCAAGTTGACACCATTGTTAGAAAAAAAAAGAAACAAACTCAAGCTCGCTAAAGCATCCAGATTCAATAAATGACATCAACACGCAACGTAATATTAATTTCGCAATGTAATATCATTGAGAGATCTCTTGAGTCTTACACTTACCGATGACAATATTAGCTTCAGCCTCTGAAGTATCAGGTATGGCCAAATATCATCATTACGACTCAATCCAAGTGAGCAATTTGGACATACTCGTTCCGTGTCAACACACGCTGGATTGACGAACTTCAGGTGTTTGTAATTCCCTGGAAATCACGTAAAGTGCATTCCGCCCCGGCAACTCGAGCTGAGCAGCACCTATCTGCCGCACCTCCGATTAGCACGGTTGGCTTACGTGCGGTGCGAAAGAAGTTCGACCTTACACGCTTTGGAGAGGTCCTCGCCTCGGACAATGAGAGGTTGAGGCAGGGGAAGGTTTGTGTGTGGGGGGGGGAGGGGGGGGGGGGGTTTGCGCTACGCTGCGCTACGAACCCGGCGACCCGAGTTCGATTCCCGCTCACGGCCGACACCGGTGACGATTATCTGAACCGGTCCTGGGCATCCCCTACGGTCGACTCAACCTCAAATGAGTGTGTAAACATCGCTACTGGGGAGACAAAGGCGGCCGGGCGTCTTGCTGGCCACCCACGCCCTCGTGTGCCGTTTCGGCCTTCATAGGTGCTGGCTAACAGCACTTGCCCCAACAGTCTGTTCAGGCTATACGGGGGATCTTTGTCTTTTGATTTAAAGCTTTCGTGACTGCAGGGATTCATCTTCTTGGTTCTTTCGGTAAAGTCACGTAGAATGGGGGAAAAAACATAATAAAATAATATAATTCTCACAAATTTTATTATTTTAGAATTTATTTATTATTTTATTATTGCCATTCTACGTGACTTTACCGAAAGAACCAATATGATCTTTGTCTTTGTCACTCCTGGCCCTGCGGCACGCAAGTCTGTCTGTTCAGGGGACTTCACTTTTTATTTTTAAAATTCTTTAAACTAATACGGACTTCGGGGGCGAGTCGGGCCGCTGGCTGGCAGAGTGCCGGCGTTCGCCTGCGGTCAATGTGATTTGCGTGTCGCGATGAACGGATTTGTCGCACGTGACGCCAAGCGCGGCCGCCGTCGCTTGCCAGCGGACGCGCGCACATTGCTTCTGGCGTTTGCTTCAGAGAGACGTTGTTAGGATTTATTTTTATTTGGGGGGGGGGGGTGGGGAGACTGAAGAATTGTGGCAATGAGAATTGGTCCCTCGTTACATGCTGTAAATTTGTTATAATTACATTTTTCATTTTCACGAGGCGCGCACGTAGAGGCAGGTTTTAAGGAAGCTAATTTATAATACAGAATATGCAAATGGAGAATACTTGACCGACGCCAAAGGGGTCAAGTCAAAAGTGATTTCCTGTTAAAAGGAGCATTGCAGCAGTGGTCATCTCACTGCCTGACCCAAGCCAGCAGTGGAAAGTTCACGTTCCTATGGCGGGGGTGAGTCTGTCTGCAGGGGCGAAGCCTACGCCACTACCTATTCTGTAATATCACGAAGCATCATCCTCAAGTGGGATATATAAACAACAAACAAAGACAAAGCTCCCCCGTACAGCATTAGCAGACTGTTGGGACAAGTGCTGTTAGCGAACACCTATGAAGGCCGGCACGGCACACAAGGTGGCAAACACCACACCCGCCCGACCGCCTTTGTCTCCCCATTGGCGATGTTTACACACCGCACCAGGTACTCATGTGAGGCTGAGGATATGTACACACACACTCTCCCACATGGCCATGCCCCGAAGAAATGTGCTTCGCTTGGCAGCGCAAGCGATATTTATTTTTAATTCTCAGGGATGTGAAATTTTACCAAATCAAGTGTAAAACCACACTTAACATTATTGTGTGTTTGTGCAGTCATGGGTAACTAGGTGGATGCCATCAGCTCACTCCACTGGAGAAGCTGGTTTTCGACACGAGTGCTGAAACCCTGACGTTAGGTCAGTACTCTGTACCCTGAGAAGTCCAGCCAGCTCTCTGGACTCTTTGGAGTGCGGTTACAAGATGGACTTATGGTCAGCAGACTTTTATGAGTCGATCTGAGTGTGGGAGGACGCCAGACAACTCAAACTCGAGGCAGTTATCCAATCAAAAGCCCTTTCAGATGTACGACTTATTCTCGTGTAGAGTCTGTTTACCCTTCCACGTATCTTCGATTAGTCTGGTTGGCTATGTACGGCGCCAAAGAAGTTCCACACACGTAGAGTACTCCTCGGCAAGATATTTCCCTGAATGTATTTCCCTGAATGTTTTGCCTCGTTTGCGCGACGACTCTATCACTGCATGATCCACGCACCGCATCTACAAATATCCAGATCGCAGGCGTGCATTGACGCAATGCTCAGCAATAATCAAACAAACAAAATGTACGTTGCATTTCGGAATATCAAGTTCAAGTTCATTTATTAGGTATAGCCCTGTGAGCCATTCGGCGTGCGTGCGCATCCATGACGAATTCACCACGAATCCGCTCGATCTCGTCGGAAGACTTGGGCCGTGAGGTTCGCCAAACAAGAGCAATGGTACAACCAG